TCCAGCTCGGCTCTCTACCAGAGGCCTGGGAGCCTGAGAGTTCTGTCTTTGCTGTCCCCAGTTCTGCACTTTTCTGGACTGAGATGTCCTGTTGTTTTTCCTGGTTTCTGTTGTAGCCACTTTTCCAGTTTGGGGGTTACGGCCCCGAGTGCTCCGATCACCACAGGCTCCACTGATGCCTTCACTTTCCAGACCTTCTCCAGCTCCTACTTGAGCCCCTGGTATTTCTCTAGTTTCTCGTGTTCCTTTTTCCTGATATTACCATCGCTTGGTATTGTGATGTCCACCACCACGGCTCTGCTCTGTTTCTTCTCCACCACCACTATGTCTGGTTGGTCCATCACCATCCTGTCAGTCTGTATCTGAAGTCCCACAGGATCTTGGCTCAGTCATTCTCCACAACCTTTGGAGGTGTTTCCCACCTTGATCCTGGGGTCTCCAGCTCGTACTCCACACAGATGTTTCTGTACACTATGGTTCCACTTGATTATGTCGCTTCATGTTTGTTTCCCTGCAGCATCTTACACCTGCAGTTCTGTGCTGGACTGTCTCAGGAGCCTCTTTGCACAGTCTACACCGTGGCTCTTGTCTGGTGTGGTAGATCTGGGTCTCTATTGCTCAAGTGCCCAGGTCCTGCTCCTGTGCTCCAGGATGAACCTCTGTGTGTTTTTCAGACCCTCTCAAGACATTGGTAGGATTTCTTGATATCAGCCTCTTCAGTTCTGTTCCGGTGGTTCCTCCCATGTAGGTGTTTGTCCTGCCATGATGGTTCCTCCAGCACCTCTTCCTCTGGACCCCACTGTCTTAGACATTCTCTGAGCACCTCATCTGTCAGGGCCTTGTCCTTGATGTACTCAAGGAGCTTGGATGTTTCATCCTGGACAGTGGTTCCCACACTCACTCCTTCCTTCCGGCTTGCGTACAGTCTCAGGGTGCTGGATTTGCGATGGAACCCTCCATGCATGGTCAGGAGCTTTCATGTCTTCACATCTGTGGTTTGTATCTCCTCCTTTGGCCAGCTTGTGATTCCTGCAGGGTATCTGATCAGTGGCAGGACGTAGTTGTTGATTGCCTTGTTCTTGCCATTGAGCTGCTTCTTAGGACTTGTCTCACTCTTTGCAGGTATTCGGCTGTAGCCGCTTTTCTTTGTTGCCTCTTCGAAGTTGCCCTTTGCTTGTGGGATACCAAGGTACTTGTAACTGTCCTCAACGTCTACTATTTTTCGCTCTGGGAGTGACCCCCCCTCTGTGTGTTCTACCTTCCCTCTCTTTGTCACCATCCTGCTACAATTTTCAAGCCCAAATGACATCCCAATGTCTGTACTGTAGATCCTTGTGGTGTGGATCAGTGAGTCGATATCTCGCTCGCTCTTGGCGTCCAGCTTGATGTCATCCATGTAGAGGAGGTGACTGATGGTGGCCAGTTGATGATTTGGCTGAGGGGGTTCAAACCTGTGCAGAACAGTAGTGGGGACAGTGATGGTAATTTGATGGACATTTATGCAAGTGGCTTCCCATTGGCTTCAAGGGTGGTTTTCCACAACCACATCGAGTTTGCAATGAAGGCCCTTAGAGTCCTGTAGATATTGTACAGCTCCAAGCACTCAGTGATCCATGTGTGTGGCACTGAGTCGTAGGATTTCTTGTAATCAATCCAGGCGGTGCACAGGTTGGTCTTACAGGTTCTGCAGTCGCAGGCGACTGTTCGATTGACCAGAAGTTGGTGCTTTGCTCCCCTAGTGTTTTTGCCGATGCCCTTCTGTGCCGTGCCGATCACTTTTTTTTTTTCCCACGAGTCCGAGTCCTTTGATTTTGAGTATCTGCTGATATCGAGTCCCGATCCGATACTTCTATAAAACATTACAAAATGAACTAAGAGCAAAGAATAAAATTTAGGATGTATGGGGGGGATCAGATTGTATTGATTTCATGTGTAGTATTTGGGCTGAACTTAGTGTGAAAAATCAAATGTCCAAAACTAAAAAAAAATTTTATTAACTTTTCTAATCATTTATCATCGTTGTTGAAAATCTTTACTTTTACCACAATCTGGTCTTAGAATGTGTAACTTAGTAAACTTAATGCACTGGACAAAACAGGAACCAGACCAGAATCAGATCAAACCTGAGACTCTGCACAATCTACACTTTGTATATTTGATATTATATGGAAGCATGTGCATTACATTTGAAACATTTACGCTTGTCAAATGATCTCCAAATAATACAAGATCTTACCAAATAAAAACGAGATGACAGAAGCTCCACAGCCTCTCTCCCCTGGCCGCCCCCACTCCCCCGCACCACCACATCCACAAACCCACCGCGGAACACACACCGCAACATCAGTCCCACCACTCAATAAACACTCCACTCCACTGGACGGACCCTCACCGCTAATAGCACCAGCTCCTCTGCGCAACAGTGTGCTGTTTGTTTTGTTTGCAACATACAGCGCAGTGGAATGATGCCATCGGCGGCGCAGGTGTGAACACGGGCCACAGAACCACAGGTAACAGCACCTGAGCACGGCATGGCCCAAAAGTCCCAGAGCGAGTGCGCCTCTAGTACAACATACATTAGGGCAGAGCAGTCTCGCTGACTGGATGTCCCGCGCCTCAGAAAAACTGTTGTATACTGTGTGTCCTATGTGTTATACACTACCGTTCAAAAGTTTGGGGTCACATAGAAATTTCCTTATTTTGGAAAGAAAAGCACTGTTTTTTTCAATGAAGATAACTTTAAACTAATCAGAAATACACTCTATACATTACTAATGTGGTAAATGACTATTCTAGCTGCAAATGTCTGTTTTTTGGGGGCAATATCCACATAGATGTATAGAGGCCCATTTCCAGCAACTGTCACTCCAGTGTTCTAATGGTACAATGTGTTTCCTCATTGTGTCAGAAGGCTAAAGGATGATTAGAAAACCCTTGTGCAATCATGTTAGGACAGCTGAAAACAGTTTAGCTGGTTAGAAAAATAAGTTTTATAAAACTGACTTTCCTTTGATTGGGTTGAGTATCTGGAGCATCATCACATTTGTGGGGTCATTAAACGCTCAAAATGGCCAGAAAAAGAGAACTGTGATGTGAAACTCCACAGTCTATTCCTGTTCTTAAAAATGAAGGCTATTCTGTGTGAGAAATGACCAAGAAACTGAAAATGTGTGAACAGTATGAACTTCTTTCTTCCTAGAACAGCACAGTGCAGTCACCAGATCTAAACCCCATTGAGCTGTTGTGGGTGCAGCTTGACCGTACGGTACACAAGAAGTGCCCATCCAGCCAATCCAACTTGTGGGATGGGCTTCTAGAAGCATGGGGAGAAATCTCTCCAGATGACCTCAACAAATAAACAGCTAGAATGCCAAAGGTCTGCAATGCTGAAAATGCTGCAAATGGAGGATTCTTTGACGAAAGCAAAGTTTGATGGAAAAAATTATTATTTCAAATACAAATCATTATTTCTAACCTTGTCAAAGTCTTGACTATATTTTCTATTCATTTTACAACTCATGGTGGTAAATAAGTTTGACTTTTCATGGAAAACACAAAATTGTCTGGGTGACCCCAAACTTTTCAACAGTAGTGTATATGTATATTGTTTATCCGATACCTGATTGGCACATAACGTCCAAGTCCGGATCGAGCCCACAGTCACATGATCGGCGCCAATTTCCGATCATGTAATAGGATCAGGACAACCCTAGATAGGACTGAGAAAATTCTTGTGTTATACACACTTGTAGCAGCATCAGGTCATCCCCAGACCTCACATATTTACTAGTAAACGATGGCTGCTTGAACTTCTTGTCAATTTGATTTTGATTAGTTTGTACAGTAGGGATGGACTAATTAAAACAACCAGTGACCAGTATTAGAAATCTGAACTTGATTAACTCTAATTTTGAGTGTAGCCCCCGTTGTGTAACACAGTGTATTAACACACTCATTTAACCAGATCAGAAAGCTGACTGTCAAACTAAAAGAAGGAAGTTTCAGGGTTTCTGAAGAACTGGTTTATTTCTTGATAATCCCCCAGTGTGTCTGTGGTCTGTTTTACTGGTAAACTTTCAGTAAAAATGTCAATAGAGCAAAACATGCAGCAAATTAATATCTTCTATTTTTTGTCCTGTCTCTCTGGTGATGAAACGTAATGTACTTTTTAGGTATGTGCACTTTACTTAAGTACATTTTATAGTGGATACTTCTTACTTGTACTTTATTACAGTGGGGGAAAGGTATTTGTACTTGACTCTCCACCACAGTTTTGAACAGAACTGAAAAGTCAAAGTATTATTCATTCTTGTCTGAGACCTGCTGAAAACAGAAAAATACACAAAGAACAACAGCTAGGAAAAAATCTGGCAATATTTTCTTTTTCAGGTCCTACTTTTACTTTTAATTAAGTATTTTTTGCTCTGATATCTGTACTTTTACTCAAGTAACAAAATGAAGTACTTTATACATAGTTAAAATGTACTCAATTACAAGTCAAGTACTGCTGCCAAATTTGTACTTAAAGCAACACTTTCAATCCCAATCTACTCATTCACAGTAACACAAGTATTGATAATAAGATACTTTGCCTTCCTGATCAGATTGTAATTGTAATTGTTTCCAACTTCCCCAGACTTATACCTGGTCCTCGCCCTGCCACATCCAGAGATACACACAAACTAAATAATAAATCTTTCATTTTGCATTCAGTACATGAAACACATTTTTATATGTTTCAGTTGAGTGTTGTGGTATCAAGGATCCAGATTATGTGTTTTGTTTAAACTTCTTGGGTTCTTTTTAAAGATTAAAATACAGTAAAGTGTATTGTCTTTAAAAAGAGAGTACACAGTGTGTTTTGCTGGATGTGTTTCCTCAGGCACAGCTTAAAATAGAATGTGAGTTTTTAAAGAGCTCACATCACCACACGCACCTGAACGTCCACGCCCACAGTCACATCATTTTGTCAGAGTCAGATAAAACAGAGACGACTCTCGGAAACATGCAGTGGTTCACAGCTCTGTTCTCGAGGGTGTTTGTGGACTGTGATAGACTGAAGACTCAGGGTGCTCTAGGAGGCTGGTGCACACGGAAATCATCATGGCGCAACTGATATCATTAGCCCAGGCACTTTCACAGCCAATTTTAGATACCATAGCATCTACTGAGATGCCACATCTGACCAGCAGAAGACAGCCGGTGTTAAAGGAGAAGGTGCTCCTTGTCATCTACACTGGAGGAACCATCGGGATGAAATACAAAGATGGCGGTATAGTATTAGCAATATCATACTGGTCTTATTTGGTCTTTTTGTCTTTTTAGACCCTGTTGTGTCCTAATGTTCATTTGTTTATAGAATAGAAATGACACTTGAACCCACTCAAACTGCAGATATGACTCAGGATTAGACGTAGTGGGATTACCTGACTGGTAACCCCACTACTTCTACCTGACAGTAGGCAGTGGTCAGGCTGGTTTCCCAAAGCACCACGCAGCCCAAACTGCTGATTAAACAGCAAAGGGAAGACTGGCTCAGAATGGCAGTGATTCTAGACTTTCTTTTCTCTTTCATAGTCTTTTCTTTGGAGCCTCTCATCTGACCTAACCAGCCCGCACGCACAGTGAAGAGGAAACACATTTTTGCTTGGCTCAACTTGTTCTGTGGGCTGTGCTCTGCTCTAGACTTCAGTGAAAACAGAGGACCTCCTCTTCGCCTGCTGCCTATCCGAATGTCCAACTAGTATATAATTAATCCTGATCAAACAAACCATTAAGATGTAGATAATACGTCATCAGTTATAGTTACAGGCCTAATGTTTGTGGAACGTAAAAAGCTCCAGTGAAATGTGAGATCTTCATATCTTCCTACCAAACTAAGCAATTATTCAGAAGAGATAACTTTTCTTCCCTTATCTGACTCCTTTAATTTGACATTTGTTTTCCACCTCTAATTAAGACAGTATTACTACAGTACTATAGTACTTTTCCACCTTCTTTAAGAGCAGTACTTAAGTTCCAGCTCTACTTAAAGACAGTACGATACTTTTAAACTTTTCCCAATAGCAGTACTTTAAATGTTCTCTATTACCTTAACCTCTTTGCTCCGAGTGCTCGTTGATGGAGAAGGATTCAAAGACTAGAAGAGTTCAGTTCACTTCTATTTATTGAATACACTCCAAAATATTGATTAATAAAGCAGGAGGGTTCAACTCCCTGTCCCTGATCTCACACAAACCTGGGATCGCACAACCCTGAACGCCTTTATATAGTCTTTTTCTTCCTAGTCTAACACTGTGGTTTCTAGTCTTTTTTGGTTGCATCCAGGCATTGGCTTCTTCTTATTGGTCCACACAGTTCCTCATTGTAGATTTCCAAGACCCGCAGACTTGTCTTCTCCTCACACCATCTTTTCACTTTTCCCCCAGTCCGCTCTGTCTGTCACACACTCGAGAAATTATGTTGCACAAAGAGGAAGTAGCATCACATTGACCTTTATTTGACTCCATTTTTGCAACTCTGAACTGTTTTCCCGACTGTGTAGTTTCTATTCCTGTCTGACTTCATGCACATAGTATTTAACATAGATTAACTCCTTTAAACAATAAGTAATCATAAAGTAATCCTGACGCACCCTTACACACCAATAATCAAACACATAATATCTAACGCAGTTCAGACATCTTTTATATCATGTCTGTCCCCTAATAATCCATGTATCATTCCTTCATTCGTTTTTCAATACAAAACCAAAAATAAGAAAATGAAAAAACAACTATTTTCTTTTCAAATTCGAGTTTGTTTTTCGAGTTTGTGTTTAAATGAATAAAGGAAAAAAACGGATTTCCCATTTCCATGACTTAAACTGCGATCCTGGACTGAACCAGGACTGAACCAGGACTAAACAGGTCTCAGTCCCGGTCTCAATCCTGATCACCCGATAGTCTATGTGGGTTCACCTCCGGGCCCATCCCGATGCTCCTGGTTCAGTCCTGGTTCAGTCCTGTTTTAGTCCTGTTTTAGTCCTGTTTTAGTCCTGTTTTAGTCCTGGTTCAGTCCTGTTTTAGTCCTCAGTCCTGTTTTAGTCCTGTTTTAGTCCTGTTTGTCCTCAGTCCTGTTTTAGTCCTGGTTCAGTCCTGTCCTGGTTCAGTCCTGTTTTAGTCCTGGTTCACTCCTGGTTCAGTCCTGTTTTAGTCCTGGTTCAGTCCTGTTTTAGTCCTGGTTCAGTCCTGTTTTAGTCCTGGTTCACTCCTGGTTCAGTCCTGGTTCAGTCCTGGTTCAGTCCTGTTTTAGTCCTGGTTCAGTCTGTTATCCATTTTTTCCAATTTTCATTTAAAGATAAAATTGAAAACTGAAAAAACAAATCATTTTCCGCTTTGGTTTTGGAGACAAATTATGAAGTTTTTTTTTGGTTTTATTTTGAAAAAACAAATTAAGGAATAATAGACAGATTCCTGATATTTCCATTTTCCAAGTTTCTCATTTGTTCATCCATACTTTGTTTAGTTCTGCTCTGTAGATCAACTACCTAAATCTGTGATGCACATGAGCTCATTCATTTCACTTCCCTTTTTTGAATGAATTATTGATGTGAACTAACACTAGATGTCAGAATAATAGCAGTATTTGTGAAGTCTCCTGTCACCATTCATCATGTCATATCTGTCTGTATTTGTTGTTCCCAGGGCTTGTCCCCATACCCCATGCACTTGAAAAGTTCCTACGTGAACTTCCCATTCTCCACGATGAGGAGTACGCCAAAAAACACGACCTCAACAAACGTTATGGAGAACACGCTCTGGTCCTACCGTGAGTTTGAACTTTTCTTATTTTCTATGTTTTTAGGCACATGTTTTCCTAAGCTTTAGACTGCAAGACCACCAACAGCCGAAATCTGAGTTGGACTTGTGGGTTTCGGTGGTTTCATTTGCCGGCCTTCTCTGCTGCCTTTCACTTACTTTTTCCGCATTTTAGGCTCATCTGTGATCATGTGAACGGGGGTGTTGAGCAAAATCAATTGCTTTTTCTTATAATATAATTGTACTTTAGTGTAAAATGCTTTAACAGTGCATTCACAGCAAACAAGATATGCATCTTGAAAATCAAATGTACTGTTATTTATGTTACAATTTATCCAACACCAATCACCTATTTTTTACCCTTCCCATGGGCTCTGCCAAAAGTATAAGCATAATAGATTTTTCTTGCTTCATAAACTCACTGTGAGTTCTCCAGTTTCCAGAGCCCTCTGTAAAGGGCCTATATTTATGGAGTAAGAAAACTTTCAAAAATATCTGTGTGCATATTTGAGAAATCCATGTAGATTTGTCTGTAGTTGAGCATAAAATAATAAACTCTCAAATGAGTCCATTTGTACATAAAATGCATTGTGTGTATTTTATCCATCAGAATACAAACTGAAAAGTTACGACATCAAGAATTACAATCACCAAATTAAAATTTAAGATCATGCTTTCTTCAGTACGAATACGAATTCAGAGACGTGACTCTGGGGGTCTGGTTTGGGGAGCACAGGATCATCTCTGCTGTTCGCAGATGATGTTGTCCTCTTGGCTTCATCAAACCAGGACCTGCAGCTCTGGGGCGGTTTGACCCGAGTGTGAAGCGGCTGGGATGGGGATCAGCTCCTCCAAATCCGAAGCCATGGTCCTCGACCAGAAAAAGCTGGCTTGCCCTCAAGTGGAGGAGTTCAAGTATCTCGGGGTCTTGTTCAGGAGTGAGGGGAGGATGGAGCGTGAGATTGACAGGTGGACAGGTGCAGCATCTGCAGTGATGCGGTCGCTGTATCGGACCGCTGTGGTGAAGAGGGAGCTGAGCCGAAAGACAAAGCTCTCGATTTACTGTCAGTCTATGCTCCTCCCCTCACCTCTGGTCATGAGCTCTGGGTAATGACCGAAAGGACGAAATCGTGGATACAAGCGGCTGAAATGAGTTTCCTTTAGAGATAGGGTCACAGTAATCAATTTTGCATAATAGAACCTTGAAATGAAATTTGACCAACTTTCTTAGATTAGTTCAATAAAGACATGATCCGATTTTCTTTCGAGGGACTCATGACCATGTGTTTGTGCTCTGTCATTTACACATAAACTAAAGCAGAATGTTTCTGATGATGAAATGAAATCTGAATGATGAAAATTGTGTGAAAATGTGTTTTTGCAGGAACAATGAAAAGGACTCAGAGGCCAGTAGGATAGTCTACATAATAGAGGAGTACAACCCGCTGCTGGACTCTTCAAACATGACTCCAGAGGACTGGGCCAAGATTGGAAAGGACATTGAGGTCCACATTCACATTCACACGTTCAGTTTATAAGGACAATACATTTGACATGTTTCTTGTTTAACTCTTTTTACAGTCAGCACAGTAGGAGATGTGTTTACCTTGTTGACGTGTTTCTGAGAGTTCTGAAGACCGCTCGCAGAGAGCATTCCAAACATGTCAATAAGATAAATACATCTCCTATCCTATTGTCCCTAAAAAGAAGAGCACACGTGTACAAAAGAAGACAAAAGGAACAGTTTTGGATTATGTCTCTCATTTGTGTTTTGTCTCAGAAAAACTATGGGTTACATGATGGGTTTGTGATTCTCCATGGGACAGACACTATGGCTTACACAGCCTCAGCCCTGTCCTTCATGTGTGAGCATCTGGGCAAACCGGTTATAATCACAGGTGCACAGGTAAATAGGATTTTGTCAAGATTTTTGTGGGTGTAAAAATCTCTCCAATATAATAAGTTAAAACGGTCTGATTTCAGGTGCCAATATATGATGTACGAAATGATGGCATGGAGAACCTCTTGGTGGCGCTGTTGATCGCAGGAACATATGACATCCCTGAGGTAAAAAAATAAATTAAAAAGTTGATAGGAATTCCTGCATAATTGATCAAATGTATTCAAATATATTCTTGAGATAACAAATATAGTTTATTAGCACAACAAAAAGAACCAAAGTGAAATGACGGTATCTAGAGAGGTTACAATGACAGCAGAAGCCCTGGTGTCTTCTGTCAAGGCAGAGATTTGTGTTTCATGACATTGAAAGGCAATTAACAGAGCAGAGAAAGGAGTTCAGTCTCTAATAGTTCTCCTTGTGTGTTGATCTGTTCTTCTCTTTAGGTGGGTTTATACTTCCATGACACACTGTACAGAGGCAATCGTGTGACCAAGGTGGATGCTGAGAGCTTTGGAGCGTTCTCTTCTCCTAATCTGGCACCTCTGGTCACCACTGGAGTGAACATTACAGGTAAGCCAGAGGGACGGTCTGTTAGATCAGACATATTTAATGAGAGTGTCTTGATGTGTGGAATTAAAGCCTCTGTCCTTCACTTGTAGTTAACTGGGACATCGTGTGGAGGGACAAATCTAAGCAAAAGTTTCAAGTGAGCACAGAGATGAACCAAAATGTGGGGCTGCTGCGGATCTTTCCAGGCATCACTGCCACCACTGTGAGTCCCTCAAACACAAGCACAGCACATCGGTAACTCCTGCACAACAGTAGATTTGTGAAAACACAACTGAATAATGCATATGGTCCTTTAATGAACTGAGCATCTTTGAGTGTTTCTCTTGTCAGAGATTTGGCAACATCTGCTGTTCTTTTGACAATTCATTTCTGATCGTTTCTTTTCCCTTGTGGTTGGAAAACATTAAACCAAGTGTGGACTTAGTTTTAGACTTAGACTTAGAATTAGACAAACATTAGTTATCCACATGGGAATTGTGCTTTTCCTCAACTCGAGTTACATCAGAGTTACAAAGTACTAATGATGAGGGCTGAGATGAGACAGAATTTTCACGAGAAGAGACACAAGACGAGATGAGATTTTGAAATATTTTACTCTTTAAAAATTAAATCAAATAAAAATTATAATTATAAAATAATTAGATCAATTCACAGTTTTGTTCACATGATTTTTAATTAGTTTAATGGTTTAAATATACATATTGTGTTGTAAATTAAAAAAATATCAAATCAAGTCATTGTCATATGACACTTTAGACACGTTTTCATAGAATACAGAAAACTGCAAGTGGATTTGCTCCTCTCTGTCGCTCCAACTTCTCCTCCCTCTCCTCCTTCTTCCAAAACCAGTGTTAAGTGCTGCAACACTGTGCCAGTGTTCTCTGAATACCTAGCAAACTGTCTTGACAAACCAGTGTGCTGAAAAACCAGATCTAAACCAGTTTTTAGATCAACCTCATGACCTAAAACCAGAGATCTCGAGATCCCATCCGTCTAAACCAGGACTAAACATCAGATTTTCTCCAAAACCCAGTCATCAATCCAAGAGTCTGAATCCAGGTCATAAACCAGGACTAAACCAGTTTTAAAACCCAGACTAAACCAGAGCTGAAACCAGGTCTAAACCAGGACTAAACCAGTTTTAAACCCAGACTAAACCAGAACTAAACCAGGTCTAAACCAGGACTAAACCAGTTTTAAACCCAGACTAAACCAGAGCTGAACCAGGTCTAAACCAGGACTAAACCAGGAGTAAACCAGGTCTAAACCAGGACCAAACCAGAACTAATCTTGGGCTGAGAGAACCCCGAGCCCGTGGAGCAGGGTGTCCTCAAAGCATGATTGGGTGTCAGCTGCTCTTAGTCTCGTGGAACATGGAGTTCTGTGTCGGTCCTTTCACCAGCAGTCACCCGATGGTCTACGCGGGGGCACCTCTGAGCCCGACCCCACATTCAGAACCGTATGGTTCACCAATGGTGTTTCACCGCTGCTGATATTGCGATAATTTTAGTGAATTTGTATGAAGAAAAACGAAAAACCCACCACTTCAGTCCAGGTTAAAAATGCATTGTAATGCGCGTTACTCACAGTGCCCAGTAAAATATTAAAATTTTTTACCTGTAATGCCACATTACTGTGTTACCGCAAAAAGCAATGTATTACAGTAATTTGTTACTTTTATAACACGTTACTCCCGACACTCCCAACACCAACCAGAGAGAGATAATGTGTGTGGAGGGGGTTCCAGATGGGTGTTTAGGGGACTGGATGGTGTAAGAGGGTTTCAGGAAAGATAACGTGGAAGAATCTTTTGTTTTAATCCTTGAACAGTTGAACAGTCGGCTGTGGTCTGTACAGAGATGACCAAAGCAGCACTTTACTGACAGAACGCAGTGAAACCTCATGTTCATGTCTCTTTCAGGTCCGGGCCTTCCTCCAGCCTCCGATAGAGGGAGTTATTCTGGAGACGTACGGCTCTGGAAATGCCCCAGACAAAAACCAGGGACTGCTCGATGCGCTGAAGGAGGCCACGGACTCTGGGGTCATTATCGTCAACTGTACACAGTGCCTGAGGGGAACTGTTTCCTTAACTTATGCAACCGGGGCGGTATGGTCACTTACAGAAATTCTATCACTGCTCTTTTAGCCAACTTATCCAACTAAGGAACCATGATTTCATTCTTTTCTTTTGGTAGGCTTTGGAGAAAGCAGGAGTGGTTCCTGGTGCTGATATGACGCCTGAAGCTGCACTGACAAAGTTGTCCTATGTGTTGGCAAAGAAAGACTGGACTCTAGAAGAAAAGAAAAGGGTATGCCCACCCAATACTTTTTCAACTTTCAGCCAAGAAATGCATTTGATTGCACATCAAAAACATCAACTTTATTTTATGTTATGCAATTGGCTTGATTGTGTTGGTACAGAACAGGTGAGAAAATATGCAACTGAAACCAAACACTGCAAATGTGTTTTTAAAAAAGTACTGTATTCTTCAGACTATATGGCTCACTTAAAATCCTTAAATTTTCTCAAAAATTGACAGTGCGCTTTTTAATCTGGTGCATCTGATGTATTAATTCTGGTTGTGTTACTGACCTCGAACTGAATTCATGTGGTACACAGCGCTCAAACATCTGTCAAAATGTTTTAGTACGACTTTGGTAAACTACGAAACCTCACCGCTTGATGGATTGTAGGAGCATTACGGCGACTGTAGTCAGGAGCCTCATGGAGTTAAGGGCAAATTATAATTTGCGTCGATGCACACTGCCGCCATCATCTTATCGCCGTTGTTTTTGATTTATGGGTCTGTGTCGAGGTCTATGCGCCATGAAGTAATTCACCTTTACAATGTTAGGAGACTACGATTTAAACCTGCCGTTTGTGTACCTTAAATACTCAAAGAGCCATTTGGAGCATCTCCCACAGAAAAGAAAACATTTGTGGGAGATGCTCACAAAACCCTTTTGACTGTAAAATGAGGAGAACACTGCAGATCATTTTTTTACCTGTGGCTCAGTATAAAAGACTAGAGTGTGTTGCATTTATGAAATCAATGAAATGCTACAGAGCAGCGGTTTTCAACAGGGGAGACACGCCTCCTCTGGGGGGCACCAAAGAGCCGCTGCAGAGGCGCGACACACGCAGACTGAACCAGGACTGATCCCAGGACTGAACCAGGACTGAACTAGGACTGAATCAGGACTAAAACAGGACTGAACCAGGACTAAAACAGGACTGAACCAGGACTGAACCAGGACTGAACCAGGACTGAACCAGGACTGAATCAGGACTGAACCGGGACTAACCAGGAGTGTCTAGACAGGCCCAGAGGTGCGCCTGCGTATTTTGTTGGGTCACCACAGAGAGAGAGAGATGGGTGTTTGTTGAAGGGCGGGGCTGTCTTTACCTGCTCTAAAGGGGAGGCTCACATTCACCCAGTTTAAAAACTCCTGCTACAGAGAATATTTGTCCATTCATATATACACTCTATGTGTACGACCTGCAGACGTATAATCTCTAAAAAGTTTCACATGAACCATCTCATGACAATGTCATCTCTGTATGCATTGTTCAAAGTAATGTTGTGTTTGTAGATGATGAAACTGAACCTCCGAGGTGAGATGATCCAAGCCGAGAGTGAAGCCAAGCTGTGCCTGAGTGACAGTTGTGTCATCCAGGCCATTGCCAAATCTCTGAGCCTCAGCTGCACCGAGGTGAGAGCCGGGGCTGGAGCACTGAAGCTTATGAGCACTTACAAGTTTGAATCTGTGCTTTTTGTTTTACAACGTCTTTTATTTATGATATTCCACTGTTTTGTCTGCAGGAGTTGGGAGCAGTCCGTGATGCCCTGACCCCCTCGCTCGCCTGTGCTGCTGCTAAGACTGGAGACATTGAGGCGCTCGAGGCCTTAAAACAATTGGTACTTCATTCACATCATTCAGACTGCAGTTATTTCATGAAAAACTGTTACTTTCCAAATGAGGTCATGCCTTCATCTTGGCCATACATTTTTGTTTTTTTTCCTGATTCGGACAGTATGTTGTGGTTTTGTTTTTTTTTATTTAATACATTTTTGAATCAGAAGTTTACAAAATGGATTGCAAGTCCCATGTGACGATAAATGCCAGATAGACAAAAAGAAAAAGATAACATGAAACTGAACATGAAGCACTTCTTTGTTTGTCTCCAGTCACATGTCTTTTTTCTGTGACAGGGCAGCCATTTGTTTTTCGGAGACTATGATGGACGGACGCCTCTGCACGTGGCGTGTTGTGAGGGAAACCTCAACGCAGTGCAGTACCTGCTGAGCCAGGGTGCCACAGTGCATGCTAAAGATCGCTATGGAGCCACTCCCCTGAGCAACGCAGTACACTTTAGGTAAGACCTGCGACGCCTCCTGCGGGTCACTAGCATCTGTAGCACTTACACTTTGGTTTCCACCAGGGATCATGTTAATGACTCTTTCAGGTGCATCTTTCCTCAGAGGACTACTCCCACTGAAAAAGGGAATTCGACTGTGAACCCTACAGAAAACTAGCTCACTGACTGTTATCAGACTTAGGCTAGTGCAGGCTTTTATAAAGCATGTGTGCTTTTATTCAATGACGTGGCCAAAAGTGTGCACCAGGACTCCTCTTCTTCAAGTGCAGTTAGGCTGTGTTGAGTGGGTGGTTTATTATGAGGGTGAGGGACTTGACACAACATGTGAAAGAAGAGTTCTTTCACATGTTGTGTAGAGTACACACCTGTATATTTATTTTCTTTAACATTGCTGTTGTTCTAGTCCAAATGTCTAAATCAGGTTTCAAGTTTATGAGAGTAAACCGATTTTATTCTCTGTTTTCTCTTGGAATGGAATGTAACGACTAACACTGACGTAAACTTCTGAATTCTAGACACAAGGAAGTGGTGGAGTTACTGAGGAAGACTGGAGCTCACTTGTCTCGTGATGAACTGAATGAAGCAGGTGTAGAGCTGTGCAGGTGAGAAACTCAGGAAAAGAGTGTCTGTCCACAGTGACCCTTCTACACAGCTGGTGCAGGCCTAACCTGTCGTCCTAGTCAAAGTGGAGGAACTCTGCTTAGCAGCACATCTCAGCATCTCTGTGTATCTCTGAAGTCCGATAACCTGCTCCTTATTGTATAGCATCCAAAAATGAAGAAGAATTATTTCAATCCCACCTGCTCACAGGAAGAGCTCAAATAATGGCTTTGACTCTGCCACTACTTACTGTAGTTATTGTAACATATAAAACACAGGAGAAAAAAAGTAACTGGATCAAAATGTCAACATTATCATCCTTAAAGCCACATCATGTTATAATCCAGCAAAAACTATTCAAATTAAAGCATCAGTTCAATTATGTGTTGTTTTTTTAATCTTTCATAAGTCATGAAACACATGTTTCTTTTCTGTGACTGAGCCTGCCTCTCCACAGATCTGACATGTAACTTGGCCTGGGGGTATGCCACCTGCATGTCTCCATGGAAATGTTATGTCTATGCTGCCCTGTTCTGCAGTGTGGTATAAAACTTTGTCTTTTTGGCTTTGTCAGCCTGGCAGCCAGGGGTGACTTGGAGGGTCTGGAAATCTGGATCCTCGCTGGTGCAGATTTGACCAAACCAGGACCTGATGGACAGACCGCCCTTCAAGTGGTGTGTTAAACATTAACACAACTTTGTAACAGTAAAAGAAAATGTGCTCAACATTTTCCTGAGAGACGACTTTTCTCATTGTCACAGGCTCAGTCGGCTGGACAGAAAGAAGTGGTAGCAACTTTTTTCAGCTGCTCATGAGCAAAAGAACCAAGGTAAAAGAAAGAGTGGGCACATAATATGGGTGGACTTGTTACTGATGAACTGTAAAACATGAAAACATTTGCAAGAATGTTGACTTCAAAATCAAAATTATTGCTCACCAGTTTAGTTCTTTTGAACGTCTCCAGTGTTTGCATTTTTAAATGTGGATTTAGCACAAAGTCCCATTTGTGTGAGTTGAGGTTTTGTGGGTGTGGACATACATCATAGTCCACTGAAGTTCACTGGTCTTCTCATCATTTATTTTGATCAATTCTTTTTTCAGAGCAAGGTTTAGTTTGTTTTCATGCCTGACTGTTTCAACTGCCAGGTCTGAAGTCCAAACTGTCACTTCGACCTTGGTCTGAAAAAAGAACTGATCAAACGAGAGTCATCCTACATACATCCTACAGTTAGAAAGAGCTCACCTCACCCTTTGTTTTGTGTCCAAGCCTCGTCAGATCTAGTGTAGTGGTCTCTCATTCCATTTGGTGAATGTTGAAGCAGCAGCCTGCCTCTCAAAGTGTCAGACTGTGTGTTTTGTCTAGTCATGGCAGTTTTAACGCCCATGGACTAGTTTCCCATTTTGTGCTTTTTAGTAACGTTTTACTTCTGTTTTTGTCTTAGAAGGGGATCAAGTTCATTGTATCAGGACTGTGAAACCCCACAGGACCATGCCACCTTTCCAGCCACTTTGCAGTCTTCCTTCCCAGCTTCATTTAGCAGTAAATCATGAACATGTCCACTGTCCCTGGGCTGTCATGGGGCTTTGAAATATATATAACCTAACAATGTGCATGCCAAATTTATCTTACTTTACTCTGCCTTGAATAAATGATGTTTTCAAAACCATAATTTTTGTGTCTTGTCATTGTTGTTGGTATTCTCTGGTTTGCAGGTTTGAAAAAAACATATCTTATATCATTTATGTAAATATGTGTTCTTTGGGTCTGTTTTATTGTGAAATTGTAATTTTGTTTTTGGGTAGAGAACAAAGAAATGCTTCATATTCAATTAATCATTATCAAACTTTGTAAAATCAACACTTTTGAATCAGCACAACCCAGCAAGTGAATGTAGATGACATAGTCAACTTAACCCACTAGATAGTGCCATATGACTCTATAGTCAATGGTTCTACAGCTCTGTACAATTTAGTCCACTGAAAATTCATATTTATGAATATCTATATCTATATATATATATATATCTATATATATATCTATATATATATATATATATATATATATATATATATATATATATATATATATATACACATATATGTATTAGATGGCAACTAAATGTAATCCTGATAGAACAAATGTGCAAAACCAAGTAAAAATGCTGTTTACTACCACTAACCCACCAACACACATTCCAGCCCAAAGTGAATAGTTCATGTAGGTTTGTGGATAGCAAAGCATTTACTAACCCAGGACATATAGTCAGGTGATCTGCAGCAGATCCTGGCCCCTGACAGGTGAAAGTACCAGTGAAAATGGCTATCATTTAAGCACAGAACTCAGAGGAGATGGTGGAACTCCCCAAACTTGGAGTGCCGTTGGAGGATTGGTAAAAACATCTCATCAGCATTAAATAAAGCACAGTAACCTGTTGGATGTCCAAGTCTGCCATTTTTCAAAATGAAAACAACAGATGCAGAGGGCATCGTGTAGCTGCAGTCGATCCTTCTGAAATGTACAAAGACAGCAAATGTACTCGTACAACCAACCCAAAAGTGAACATTTTAAAGGAGAAAGTGTGTGTCATGGAGCACAGACGAGTGTAGGATGTGTGGAGTGACGTCAGAGACTGGAGCTGCTCTTTGTCACTGCAACAACAAACCACACACACCTCACATTTAAACTGAAAAGAATATGAAAAAGATGTGTGAGAGGCTCTGAAACTAAAGGAAATATATACAGTCATTATGAGATAAATATAAGACTGCAATGATAATAAATCAAATAGTAACAAAAATACATTCATCATCAGTCATGAATACATTTACTGTAACTATATTAGGAGACTGTACTTTCACCACTTCTGTTTACTCTGTACACGTCCAACAACTCAGAGCTGTGTCACCTGCAGAAGTACTCTGATGACAGCCACTGTCAGAGCTGTCAGGAACAGTGATGAAGGGGAGGACAAGCAGCTCTGAGGACTTTGTGGTGCACGGCTAACCACCTTCAACTGAACACTGCAAAGACCAAAGAGATGTTGGTGGACTTTAGGAGGAGCAGGCCACAGCTGCTGCCTGGGATCATTGAGGGGGACACTGTGGAGGTTGTAGAGAGATAGAAAAAGGGTGTACATCTCGACCACAGACTGGACTGGTCTGAGAATACAGACCTGCTCTACACAAAGGGACAGAGCAGACTGGACTTTCTCAGAAGGCTGAAGTCTTTTAAGATCTGCCAGAAGTTCCTGCTGATGTTCTACCAGACACTTATCTCCAGTGTCCTCTTCAGTGCTGTGGTCTGCTGGGGAGGAAGCCTCAAGCAGAAGGACATTGTGCAGTTGGATAAGCTGGTGAGGAAGACAGGATTTGTAGTGAGTGCAGAGCTAGACTCACTCACATCCGTGGCTGAGAAGAGGCCCTAAACAAGCTCCTGTCCGTCCTGGATATTTTTGTTTGTTTGTTTTGGTCAATAAAGCATATTTAACTATTTGTAAACAATGTAATTGACATAAATATGATTACCAATCAATAGTCACTCTTATAGTTGCTTTTTGTGGTTATGTTTGAATTTCTATAATGAAAGTGACAGAGTTAGTCCATTACTACGTGCCTTTCAGAGGCGGTGCTATCATTAGGTAAAAGTAGGCGGCCGCTTAGGGCCCCTGAACCTGGAGGGGCACCCAAACAACTGCCCTTGCTATTACCACTCATGGCCGAGGCCTCAGAGCAATTGGATTTTCTCTCAGTATGACATTAAATGAGAAAAAAAAAAAAAACATCAAAAAAGTATCTGATTGTCAAATCTATTTTAATTGTCAAAGCATCCCCCCTTCATGTTAGAATGGACTAGTCAGCTTGACCCTGATTTGAACAGAATCATTTATAATGGATGTAAACAAAAATGTAAATGTACGAGCAAAAAAATAAAACTACTTTCAGCTCTAGTTTTCTAGTGGGCGACCGAACTAATAAGACAAGTTTCAATCCACCCTAATTCAAATAAAGACGTCTCAAGAAAAATGGGGAAAAAACACAATAATTATTGAAAAAATATAATAAGAAACAAACAAAATAAACAATAAAACAGTGCATAATAGTAAGGGCCCCAAACTCAAGTTCGCCTCGGGACCCCAAATTGTTAACTCTGCCACTGGAGCCTTTAGTATGAAGAAATGTGAACAATAATCTCATATTCATTTCATACTTTTTTTTTTTCCGACACATTTTTATAAATTTTCAGACAAAATCTTTACATGAACAATTGACCACATTAACATAGGTCAACACCAAAAACAGGCCAATTCACACACACACACACACACACACACACACACACACACACACACACACACTCACACACACACACACTCACACACATTGCACATTCACATATTGATGAACAATGCTTGCACAATACAATTTATGAGTCGCAGGTAAGTCAAAGATCCATATTCAGTGAAGATATACATTTTAAAAAGGGAAAATTGGTAGAAGAGAGAGAAAAAATACATAAATTAGAAAAGCACTCAGACCTCCGCCAAGGACTACCCCCATTTTTTATATAAATTGCGATAAAATCAGTCTTCTGGATCAGATCCGGATCAGCCCATTGTCCATCCCTGAGTCAAATTTCATGGGGTTTGGTCAATAATTAACCGAGATATTGAGAAACTAAATTTTTGGCCCCATTTACCACAATGTTAACTAAAATTTCAAAGTGATCCAGAATCCAGGATTTCTTCCGGATCACCCCCAAAATGAAATCAGTTCTTTCTTTTCACATTTCCAACAAATCCTGAAAATTTCATCAAAATCGGTCCATAACTTTTTGAGTTATGTTGCTAACAGACAAACAAACAAACAAACAAACAGACAAACGCCGGCAAAAACATAACCTCCTTGGCGGAGGTAATAAATATTATTATCATTATTATTATCATCATCACTAATAACAACAATAACTATATATATATATATACACACACACACATATATATATGTATATATACACACATATATATATGCACACACACACACTCATTCCTACATTCCTATGTTTTAGATATGATATTTAAATAAGGTTCCCATAATTTCACAAAGACTTTTCATTTTCCCTTTGCTATAAATGTCAGTGTTTCATTCTGAAAGTTCTTTAATCCACTGTTTTGTAGAAGAGGCTTCAATATTTTTGCAGTTCAAGGCGATGGCTCTTCTGGCATGTAATAGTCCAAAGTCCAGTACTTTTGCTTGATTTTGTGTCTGTAATAAACCTTCTAGTCCCAATATACACAGTGTTGCACACATAGGAATCTTTACATTAAATATTTCTGTTAAACATTTTATAATCTCTTTACAAAATATCTGAGTTGCTGAGCATTCCCAAAGACAATGTGAGATATTGTTACAGGCTTATTGTTTAAGTTTATGAGCATTATGCCACATAGTTATTGTATGTGTTAGAAATTGATTTTTGTCTCTCTTTTTAATGTTTTTAAATATTTAGATAGCTATTTATAGGTAGATCTGGAACTGATTGTTTCTCAATGGATACCCAACCTGGAGGAGTGTCTGCATCAAAATAGTGTGACGCTGCTGTCAGTTGTGCAGCCATATAATACCATCTAAAGTCTGCCCCCCCCCCTTTCACAGGGCAAATATAGTAACTTGAAATGAAGTCTTGTTTTCCTGTTGTTCCATATGAATTCACTGAATATATTATTCAAATTGTCAAAAAATGATTGAGGTAGTGGTAAAGGACGTGTTTAGAAGTAATATAAACATTTTGATAAAATTGACATCTTAATTATATTTATATGTCCTTTCATGGAAATAGGTCAATTTGAGCAGTGACCAAGTGTTTCAGTGACCTTGTCCACCAAGGGGTCGTAGTTAGCAGTAGTTATTTTGTCTAGATCTGGAGGAATTTTTACACCCAAATATTTGAACCCATCAGTAGCAATAGTAAATGTATTTTTTTATTGGAGGGGATTTCCTGTCTTTGTCATTAAGAAACAAAGTACCGATTTACTGTTGTTGATTTTTGTATCCGGAAAACTCACCAAATTTCTCAAGTACATTCATCAGATTAGGAATGATATTCTTTAAGTCTGTCAAAAAATATATATATAATGTCGTCTGCAAATAAAGATACCACATGATTTCTACCACCAATGTCAACCCCTGAAAGTCCCGTCTACGTCCTTGCCAGTGGTTCCATAACTAGTGTGAATAGGATTGGTGATAACGGGCATCCTTGTCTTGTAGAACGCTGTAAATTGAATGGTCTGGACATGTTGTTGTTGGTTAGAACTTGGGCAGTGGGGTTTGTATATAGCAATTCAACCCATTTAATGACTTTTCCCACAGCCCATATCTTGGAAGTAATTTCAGAAGATAGTTCCATTCAATTCTATCAAATGCTTGACAAGCGAGCCTTGCTGTGTCCTAATATTGTGATATTGTGATAATTGTGATAGCCTTGTCTCTGCTTAACAAATCCCTGTTGGTCATCTAATATCAAACCTCTGTGTCTCTGCGCCTATGTTTTGGAGTGAACAATAACAATTAGGCCATGGGCAATGCCACCGTGCCATATCATGCACGTTTTTGGATTTTACCAGGGTTAACGATTAAAATTATGCCATTATCGCGGCAATGGGCATTGCCACTCTGTACTATTGGATGTCATGAGTGGCACTATTGAGTGTGCTACTTCGCACTGCTGAACAATCACTATAGGCCCTACTCCACCCATGTACTCCACCCTAATAATAATAATAATAATAATAATAATAATAATAATAATAATAATAATAATAATAATAAATGGTATGAGTTGCTTCACATTATCTGAAGTGTCACACTGCTCCCTGGTGGCCACTTTGCATGCATACAGTCCATTGTTAAATGTTTGTTTAATGAAGTCCATTCAAGAAAAAATGTGTAAGTTTCTTTTAATCATTATAATATTGTAAACTAACCATTAGCAGTGCGGGGTTGGAATTCTTGCCTAATCTGCCCTAAGGCAGAACGCCGTAACATCAGGTTTGGTCAAAAATGTCATGTCCATGTCATTTTGTTTGTATTTGAGAGCTCCTTTATCATGTGAATAAATATTGTGAAAAATACTGAGCTCAAAATTGACCTTTGAACCTTATTTGTCAGTTCCTGTTCTCTGTATTTGTATCATGAGACAAAAATAAGTTTTTGTGCAAAGGCTATAGGCAGAAACAGTGTATGTTTTGTTTGTGATTTAGTTTATAAATATATTTTATTTTAAAATACAACCTCTGGCCTCCTTCTTTTTGTTGTGGTCTTGGCAGAAGGTCTTAACACATTCAATAAATATATCTTTGTATTCAATTATATTTTGTAATAACTGATTTCATTGTAATTATACTACAACTGACCTTTAATCTGAAAGTATTGTGTTTATTTATTCATACTATACACACTACACAAGAAATCCAAAACTCTTCTAGATCATTTCACACTAACACATGATGACTGGAGCTTGGTGACGTGTTCTTAGATTGGATGGAAGTCTGGAGAAAATCAAGAAAATAATGATAATGTCAGTTTCTGCCGTTTGCCTTTGCTCAGTTCCTTCTTTTTGGCTCATGATACAAAGGCAGAGAACAGGAACTGACAAATAAGGGTCAAAGGTCCATTTTGAGCTCAATATTTTCCGCATGCAAATATTCATTATTGCAACTAGTTGTCAAATTTTGGGAGACCTACCTATTATACTTTTTTAGTTTCACACTCGCCTTTGTAGGGCAGTAATGTCTAATACAGAGGTGTCAAACTCATTTTGGTCCGGGGGCCGTATCCAACTTACTTTGATCCCAAAGGGGCCGTATCAGAAAACTCATGGCATATATACCCCAAAAAATAGCAATAAGTTCAAATATTTGTGCAGAGAAACAAAAATCTATTACAAAAATATGTTTTAATTGATGAACTCTTTTAGAAAATATTATAATATTATGAACAACCTGAAACTTTAAGAAAAATGCAATTTCAACACAATATTTAAAAAAATAACTTGTATGTAAATAGGAATAAGTCCATTTTTCTTGTAAAATCCTGCACTCGGCTCCACTTTTCTCATTTTTGACATTTTGCTGATGAGGGTGTCACGGTCAACAGTCAAAACGATCGTCCTTTAAGAGCTTTTGGAAAGAGACAAGTCTTCATTTATGCTGCTCTGGTGGGAGGGGCCACGTACAGAGACACTGGACACACCGCTATACTAAGCACCACAGAAAATTACCAATATTTTAATAGAAAATATAATTAAAATATTTTAGTAGAAAATCTGCCGAGGGCCAGATTAAAGGTCTTGGAGGGCCAGGTCTGACCCGTGGGCTGTATGTTTGACACCTGTGGTCTAATATATTCTTATTTTGACATTTTCTGTCATTTTGAAATTAGCAAATTAGGATAAAAGTCTTGTAATATTTTCCAGTGCATTTGTCTGCTGATTTAGTTATTTATAGAATAATTAAAGAAGGCAATAATGTGAACCTAAAAATATATATATAAAAAATTAATGAAATAAAAAATAACGTGAACCTAAAAAAAAAAAAAATATATATATATATATATATATATATATATATATATATATATATATATATATAATAATATAATGAAATAAAAAATAACGTGAACCTAAAAATATATATATATAAAAATAAATGAAATAAAAAAATAACGTGAACCTAAAAATATATATATAAAAAAATTAATCAAATAAAAAATAATGTGAACCTATATATATATATATATATATATATATATATATATATATATATATATATATATATATATATATATATATATATATATATATATACAAATAAGTGAACCTAAAAATATATATATATAAATAAATCTAATAAAAAATAACGTGAACCTAAAAAATATATATATATATAAAAAAAATAAATAAAATAAAAAATAACGTGAACCTGCCGCCGCACGTGACAGGTCCACCCCGGAAGTGTTTTTAAAGCTAGCGGGACTAGCACACGTTTAGTGTTAGCCTCATCATCAGGAGCAGCGGCGGGACGTGAGGAGCAGCGGCGGGATCTTTGTGCTGCTGCGGGATGGAGCTGACACGCAGGAGTGAGTATGACCGTGCACCGGGGTCCTCTGCACCTACAGGCTCCACACACCCGTGCTGTGTGTGTGTAAATGTGTGCATCAGTGTGTTGAGCGGGCTGCAGAGCGGGGCTACAGCGGGGCTAGTGTTAGCCTCAGCCCGCAGCACACCGCACACGCCGCGGCTGTGATCGGGACACACGCCGAGGCTCTGCTCCGGACACGTTTTGTGCTTCTCGATCAGTTCGTTATCATTGCGAAATATTATATTGTATTATATTCTATATCAGTGCAAATGGGCAAAAATACCTCGCACACAATAATATAAAGGTCCTATATTACCAGTGTTGGGAAGGTGACTTTTAAAATGTATTTCCCTACAGATTACAGATTACATACCCCAAAATGTAGTTTGTAACGTAATCCATTAAATTACTTAAAGTGAGTAACGTAATCTGAATACTTTGGATTACTTGATTTGCTGTAGAGAAGCAAAGACGAGGATATTGTATCATAAGATGTTTTGTTTGCTGAAAGAAAATAAAAAGCCCACACTTTACTGAACCGTATTAAAAATATTATTGATAGTTTAGTCCTGTTAAATCCTGGTTTAGACCTGGTTTTAGTCCTGGTTTAGTCCTGGCTTTGGACCTGGTTTAGACCTGGTTTAGACCTGGTTTAGCCCTGGTTTAGCTCTGGTTTAGCTCTAGTTTAGCTCTAGTTTAGCTCTAGTTTAGCTCTAGTTTAGCTCTAGTTTAGACCTGCTTTAGTTTCTGGCAATGAGTGGAATTACCGAGAAAAAAGGGGCTAAAGCCCAAAATGTGAAAACAGTAAAATACTGCCATGTAATCCATTTATTTTAACAAAGTAACTGTAATCCAATTACCACTCACTGAAATAGTAACTGTAATCGAATACAGTTACTCATAATTTGTACTCTGATTATGTAACTCTGGTACATGTAATCCATTACTTCCCAACACTGTATATTACACAGCTTTAATCTGTATATTATAATGTTGTTACCTGCTCAAAAACAGACCTGGAGTTGTGTTTTGTTTCATTCACACATGTTTGAGTAACCATTTATTATTATTCTCTCTACATCTCCGAAGCTCAAAAGGCTCTGTTCCCACGGTTGTGGAAATTGAAAATGCCATTTTCCAGGCCTAGAAATGTCATAGAATTTTAGTATCTCTTTCACTCCAGCATTCTGTTAAGTTCTCATTAGGCTATTATGATTATTTCTGAACATATGGGCCTTTTGTTTAAAAGAGACGACAATAAATGAACTGACAGTATTTTGAATGTTCAAAAACTATAATCCCAAACCATAAAGTGAGTGGAAAGAGTTAACATTTCAGATTAAGCCCTAAAAGTCTGATCAATTGTACACATCTAGGGTACCGTAAAGTCATGGAAAATTCACTTTAGGTCATGAAAAAGTAATGGAAAAGTTTTGAAATTTTGTCAGTGAAAAAGATTGGGAACCCTGCACCTTGTAATGTCATGAAGCTGTAGTTTTAGAAGACAACTGCTCCTTTTACCTTTTTAATTCAGTGGTTTTTGGCAATTCCAGGTCTGAAATGATTCAGACCTGGAATTGAATCTGAAACCTGAAATGATTGTAGAGAAGGTGTATGGGGTTTCACAACACCGTAAGCACTTCCTTTATTACCACATGACATCACAAGGTGGAACAGCGTGTTTTCTGTTTAAGAGAAGAACTCAGCCTAAATGTGCAGGGTTTGTGTGCTAAACGTGTGAAACAAAACAAAACACTCCAGGTATGTTTTTGATGAGGAAATATTATAATCTGAATCAGAAAATAGTGTAATATGGGCCCTTCAACTTTGAGATGGACAAATACATCACAAAATGGATAATTAAAAAATCTCCAAAAATGTCATGGATGTATTTAGGTTGTTCGTTAGTTTATTTACAACCCTTTTTTCAAGAAAAACTCCTGGTTTTCTTTTTATTAATGTGACATTTTGTGACATAAAATTCCTCTGCGGCACTGAAGAGAAAATCATGCATCTTGGATGCATTAACTTAAATTTTCTGTAAATCTGCTTGTAATGAGACAAGACAAGCCCAAATGAAATTCTTGCCCACACAGTCAAACCTACTAATACGAATACACATATATCTATATTTTTGCCCACCTAAAACGTCAGTCTGCCCACCCAAGTTCAGCTGGCTAGAACCGGGCCCTCCTGATATGTTAAAAAAAAACAAAAAACGGTTGTTTAGTTTTTATCCTTCTGTTGCCTTGTGGGAGGATTACATATTTGTTTGAAACATTATCTTGAAGTGTGCACTGAAATGTCCTGCTGATGTTGATGTGTGTTTTCAGATTTTAAGGAGAGCCTGGACACGGTGTACGGGGCCATAGAAGAGGCAGATTTTCTGGCCATCGATGGGGAATTTTCAGGTGCTTATAGATCTTTGTCAGTGTGCCGTACTACTTTTAGATTCATTCATTGGATGCTTATGTACGGAGGCCGAGAGGGGTCACAACAAACGCAAGCACCGCAACAAATACAAATGTGACAACACAACAAAAAGCCACAACAGAAATGACCGCGGGATTCTATTTTAATGCAAAAGCCACAACACATTAAAAAGCCACAACACATTAAAAAGCCACAACGGAAGTGGCGAAGTGAAGAGTGAAGAAGAACTACAATGTGAAACGAATAATGATAAAACAATAAAGTACTTTTACTTGCATTTCCAACTTCTCTGTTCCTTCACTTTTCACGTTGTAGTTCTTTTTCTTCACTTGCCGCTTGATCGGTTTGTCGGAAAAGAGTCCCGCGGTCACTTCCGTTGTAGCTTTGTAATGTGTTGTGGCTTTGTAATGTGTTGCTGCATTTGCATTTGTGTTGTGGAGTTTGTATTTGTTGCAGCGTTTACATTAAAATAGAATCCCGCGGTCATTTCCGTTGTGGCTTTTTTTTTGGTGTGTTGTGGCTTTTTGTTGTGTTGTCGCATTTGTATTTGTTGCGGCGTTTGCGTTTGTTGTGACCCCTCTCGGCTTCCCTACCTATGTGTGTGCATGTCATCTGCAAATAATGACACCCAGTCCACAAAACAGTGCTGTGAATCCAGTTTGAAGCCTTCTTTTAAAATAAAAAGGTTAGATAGTTCCGCACGTGTGTCTGTTTACATCCACACAGCGCACAGATCGAGGTGACACTGCTTTCTGTGTACTTTAATGTCAAGCTTTTGTGCATTAAAAATCAGGAAACGGCTGACAAGGTGTGTGTTCACAACTTTTAGCTTGCAGTCTACAGCCATATCCCGATGCAGTCTTTTTGCTCAGAGATTTAAAATCTCATCTGATTCTCCTTGTGTCTGTGGTGTGCGCTTTTTGTTGCACGTTGAAAAAATACTTTAAGACTGAACAATCCTGTAGTGTGTGGCAGCCTTTAGTCAACCAGTAAAAAAGATTTATATTGGACAAAATGAGAAAGGAGAAGATATGTGGTGAGTTCACTGCCGATTTTGGAAGTGAACCTTAAGTTTAAGTTGATAGTAATTATTGTGAAAGGCCTATTTACTGAGATATTATTGTTCAATATATGAAAACTGAGACAATATACTTTGGGGTTCAGAATTTATTGTGTGCACAATTTCTTTGTAAAAGGGTGGTGTGGAGATTTGAGGTATTTTTGTTGTAATATGATACTATTTGAATTGTTGAAAATATAACTTCTGTGGCTAATAATAATCCTTGTAAACTATTTTCATATATTATCTATCCCACCTTATTGTTATTGTGTCATTAGTTTCTGTTTTATCTCTAGCAATATATCTTGCTTCAAAATGAGTTCTCGTGACAGGCCTATGAGTACTTACAAATACATTTTTCCTAGTACTTTTATATAGTATACTGTATAGTCAGTTTGGTTCAGATAGAAATACTGAAAAGTTTTGAGAGCTATTTACTTTTTAGGACTAGGACATGTGTTTAGTCGACCAAGAACCAAGAACTTCAGGCGACTACCTATTTGCTGATACTGACACTGACCGCTCCTCTGTGTGCAGGCATCAGTGACGGTCCAAACGTGAGCGCGCTGACAAATGGACTGGACACACCTGAGGAGCGCTACGCCAAGCTCAAGAAGGTCTGAGCACCACACCCCACCAGCAGTGTGGCCACCATACTAAAATCTCAAACTCAATTTTAATACTAAGGAATAGACTTGATACTCAACTGGTTCCGATACCACGATGATGATAAAAACCTAAGTTTTTTGACAATAGAATGTAATTTTAATCATCTCTATATTACCATGTTGCCTTATACATGTGTGTCCTCAGTGGTCTGTAGGTGTTTACTAGTCTATGTGCTCTTCTACTTGTTCTGATACAGCTCAACATCATTCTAAAGCTTCAGGAAAGGTTCAGTTCTGCCCTGCGAATGGGACTTATTTAAACCTGCTCAAATGAGTACTCAGTTTTGAGTAATGATTTAGTATAGGGATGGGCGATATCTCGATATTTTAAATATATCTAAATATTTTTAAAACTCTATGGATATAATGCTATATTCAATTTTGATTTCGCCACCTTGCTTGTTTGCCTTCTCTTTCATCGCTCCCTCCACCATGATTTTGCTGTTTGTGTCTCATTCACTCCTCACTGCCGCCGTGAATACCGAAAGTTGGTGCCAGTGAAAAGCTTGTAGCACCACGAAACTTTTCCACCATTTACAGACAAAACCATCAGCAGCACATCCTCACAGAGAGAACACTCATATTCCAGAGTCGTGTCCTTTAGGCCGAAAGAAGCTGAACCGTATGAGTGGAACAAGGAGCATGCTGTTTATGCAAATGAGCCATGCGCGTTTAATTTTCGTTTCTGTTAAATATAAACAAATCTGTGCAAAACTGTATTAAACACATGATAATGTCAAACGTGATGATGTGGCTCGTAGTCATTATGCTTTATACATTGTAAAGTTTAGTAATGTAAAGTTTGTTTATGCAGAAGATTTAAATTTATAATCTGTTGCAGTGTCACTTGTACAATAGTGTTTGGAAACTTTGGGTTTGATCTGCAGTGGATTGTGGGAAACCTCACAGCTCCTTATGCTGATGAGGAACATGGGTCAGTTAAAATAAAGAACATCCTGAGCTTCCTCTGCTAAAGCAGCTCATGGTTATGGTTATGGTCTAGATAACAGAGTTAATACAAAGATAAGCTTGAGTTGTTTTACTTATGAATGAAAAGGAAGTATGTATTACTTTTGTTTTACAGTTAAATATTTTTTTTTATGTAATTAGGTTTTTTTTCTAATTTTAAATGTTCCTACATGAACTGCCTACCTCTTACACTTCAATAAAAAAGACCTTGTGCAATTTAGGCATATTTGCTTTTGCAGTTTTCAGATTTAGGGGGTTATTTTTCCTGTACAGATATCGAGATATATATCAAGATATATTTTTTGATCCATATCGCCCAGGCCTAATTTAGTACCTGATTTTTGACTGATTTTCCACTAGGCTGTGGGTTGAATCATGTTTGTCATCTGTAACACATGTCCTTCTCTCTCCTCCAGCATTCTATGGACTTCCTCCTCTTTCAGTTTGGGCTATGTACATTCAAATATGATCAGTCACAGTCAAAGTAAGTAGATAAATGCAATACAAAATGCCAGTGCTTGAAACGTCAATCTCGTACTTCATCAAATGCTGTTCTATCCCTTCTCCCCCAGGTACATCACAAAGCCTTTTAATTTTTATATATTCCCCAAGCCCTTCAACAGATCCTCTCCGGACATCAAGTTCATCTGCCAGGTGAGCTCAGGTTTGTTTTTAATAGCTGAATTTTGAATCCAGTGGACTGACCAGTGTTTCTCTCACTGCAGAGTTCCAGTATAGACTTCTTGGCGAGTCAGGGTTTTGACTTTAACAAAGTCTTCTGCCACGGTACGTATGGACCATAGACTCCTGTATATACCGTATTTTCCGGGCTATTAGGCGCTCTCTTAAGCCTCCAACCCCATCAAAAAAAAAGACTGCACGCCCCACAATCCAGCCCTATACACAAATCCACTGGTGTCCCAACACGACTTCAGTAAACTACAAAACTGCACCACCCACAGAACACACAAACACACACGGAGCAGACAGCGACCACACAGAGAAACACACCCACAGACACACTCATCACTCCACGCTGACGAGGAACGGAACGGAGGAACGAACTGAAAAAGCGAGTGCAATGTGCCACTTCTAGACACAACTGAACAACTGAGTCACTGTGAACACGCCGACAATCCGTTGGTCCCAGACACACCCTCCCTACACGCCACAACTGAACAAAGCCCAGAGTCACCGTGAACGAACAAACAAACAAAACCACTCACCCATCACACTGTTGTGTTTCCTTTAAAGTCCAGTGCCATTTATTTGTGAAAAAAGTTCGAAAATAGACCATTTAATGGCAGTGCGTCTTATAATCCAGAGTGACTAATAGTGCGGAAAATATGGTAAATGGACATAGTTAGTCTGCTAGCTGATGCATTCCAAATAGGAAGTGAGCATGGGTGCACTTCTGGCTCAATCTGCCAGGCTCAACTTTGTTTTACAAAAAAACATCACTCCTCTCTCTGTAACTACTACTGTCAGGCTCCTCATTTTGGTCTTTAAATTTTCGTGTTAACCTGCTCTACATGATCCTGGTGTGTTAATGTATTTTGCTGTTTTGTTCATAATTCAGTTCCTACTCCTAATATGGAACCCAGGTCTGTGTGCCATTCGTTCTTTTGAATTTAAATTAAAAGCGAAAAACAATAAAATGGGAAATTTATTTTGGTGTTATTTGAAATCATTTTTAATCAAAAAATGGTCATCGTGCCCATTTCAATTTTGACATTTTGTTCTCTGGTATATTTGCTCTGGAAGTTCTGCTGCTACAAGGACTTACCTGAAAAATTGTTGCAATTTTGTGGACAAACGTGTTTTCTTTTATAGCGACGAGTTTACTTTTGTGTTTTGGAAAGTCATTGTTGAACTCCATGATGAGAAATGGGAAGCAGCGCTAAGCAGCAGAACCTCTGTGGCAAATAAACCAGAGAATAAAATGCCAAAACTGAAATAGGCACGATGACTTTTTTTTTTTGGTGTTATTTGAAATAAACCTTATATTTAAATATTGGAAATAGAGATTAAAAGCAGTTTTTTTTTTTTTTTTTTTGGACACTAACAGAATAATGAAACAACAAACTGTTTTCGCATGTATTGTTTTTCGTTCCTAATTGAAATTCAAAAGAACAAATGGACTAACCCGGCTCCAAATTTGGCCCTATAACTTCTACCCTCATGAGCGTCATAAGAATGCAGCTGAACACTGTGGGTAACATCATGCTCTTGGTCCACTTCTTTATAGAGTCTGTGAGGTGGGCTCATGGTTTGATGTTGATGGTCAGCGGTTAGTTACCTGTTAGTACAAATGCTGAGAGGTGGTTTGTAAGCGAGATGCTGTTTTACAGGAATCCCCTACCTGAACCAGGAGGAGGAGGTACAGCTGAGGGAGCAGACGGAGGAGAGGAGGAACCAGCACGCCAACGGTGTGGGGACGCCATCTTTCATCTCTCCCTCCGCCAAGAGCCCCGCCCACGTGCCTGACGAGCACAAGGAGTTCATCAACAGGGTGGTGTAAGTCCTCTCACCGCAGCTTCAGTCCTGTAAGGTCATGAGTGTATTTAGACTGGGCGCTATATTGGTTCCTGTATTTATTTTGGCTGATATTGATACTGATCATTTTTGGTGCTGCTCCGATCTGTGTGCGTCAGATTATCTTTTGAACAGACTAAATCAGTAAAAATGAAAATGACACAAACGTCTAACTAATGATTTTATTTCCCAGATAAATACACTGCTATTTTTTTTTAGACAAGTGAAAAGTTAATTTGTAATATTTGCCTCAATCTAAGCTCAATTTGTGGGCCTTGCTTTAAACTAGTTGTCAGCCACAGCAGCAGAGCAAATATCGGATATCGTATCCGCTCAAAAAATCCACATTGGCACATCCTGGAGTGGTAATGTGAGAATCATCTGTCTTTTTCAGACAAAAGGTGGAGGCCCTCCTCAGTAACTCAGACAAATCTCTGGACTTGGATCCGTGCACAGGGTAAGACTTGTGTGTGCATTTTTATATTTTTTTTTCAGCATTTTAGATTTGACAAAATAGCTTGAGGGCTTATGGTGTAACTGTGCATCATTCCTCCTTCAGGTTCCAGAGAAAGCTCATCTACCAGACACTGAACTGGAAGTGAGTGATTTTACACTATGCAGAATTATTATAGAATTATTGACATTGTGTAAAATGGGCACTAACCTGTGTGTCACTGTGTGTAGGTTTCCTAAAGGGCTTCATATAGAAACGGTGGAAACTGAAAAGGTAAGTCATCTATCAAACACGTACAAATACCAGCTTTGATGATGGGTGTGGTATAGAGGAGCTCCCTGTGGTGTTTTCACAGAAGGAACGCTTCATCCAAGTGAGTAAAGTGGATGAGGAGGAGAGGAAGAGACGAGAGCAGCAGAAGGCGGAGAAGGAGCAGGTGAGACTGTGGAGGTCACTGTGTGGGTGAGATGGGTCATCAGGGCTAGGAGTATGCACCCAAGTTTAAGTTGGAAAAGGCTTTGGTACAAACAGATAGACCCTCATCTGAATTTACAGGGCCCACATTACTCCATTTTCTGATCTGTGGTAATGTTTGAATGAAACAAAACAATTTCAGGTCTGTTTCACACTTGTTTGACACATAAATCCTGCATATTTAGGCTGAGGTCTTCTCTCAAACTGAAAACACTCATTTCAGCTTGTGATCTTACAGTTTCATGACATCACAGGATGGAGATTAGACTTTGAGTAATCCTGCATTATTAGTCTGTCTACATCTCCAAACATGTGTGAGTGAACATGGCTCAGGGCTCGCAAGAAGTTCAGATGTTTTTTTGCTCTTACACAGGGCCTTTTGTATCACACACTTTGAATGCAACATATTTGGTAAAGATGTATGAATTGTGAACATCTTTAATCTTAAAGATCTTTTCACATGACAGGAGGAGTTGAATGACGCAGTGGGCTTCTCTAGAGTGATCCATGCCATCTCTAAATCTGTGAGTCATCTCAACTATTCCTCCAGCTCTTTATACAATAATAATGATAATCTAATGATGTGTTTCCTGTTCTAATGTGGCGTGTGTTGTGTCAGGGCAAACTGGTGGTGGGACACAACATGCTGCTGGACGTCATGCACACCATTCACCAGTTCTACTGCCCCCTGCCCGAGGTATGACTCACTATAATGAAACTACTACTACTACGGTGGGATGGGAAACAAATCACTAAGGTTGCAGTTTTTCATGAAGTACAATTTCCTCCTACAAACAACAAAATCTCCTGTCTTTTTCTTTATAAAAACTGCTATCCCTGTAGTTTTCTGTACAAACATGTCCTGTAATAGGGTTGGGCGATATCTTGATATTTTTAATATATCAAGATATTTTTTTACTCTATATGGATTCTGACATATCGAATATATCGATGATATGCTTATATTCAATTCTGATTTTGCCATTTCGCTTATTTACCTTCTCTGGCATCGCCTCCGCGCCCCCACCTTCCTGATTTTGCTCGCTTGTGCCTCATTCACTCCTCACTACCGCCGTGAATGCCCACAGTTGGTACCAGTGAAAAGCTTCAAGCACCATGAAACTTTTCCATAATTTACAGACAAGACCATCAGCAGCACATCTCATATGAGTCATGTCCTTTAGTCTGAAAGAAGCTGAACCACATGAGAGGCACATGGAGTGCACAGTTTATGCAAATTAGTCATGCAGTTTTAAGTTTCATTTCTGTAAACACATTTGCGCAAAACAACATTAAACATTATAATCTCAAATGGGCTGATGTGGCTCTAGAGTCGTTGTGCTTTATACATTGTAAAGTTTATTCGTGTAAAGTTTATTCATGGAGAAGATTTTAATTAATCTGTTGCAGTGTAACTTGTACAATAGTGTTTGGAAACGTTGGGTTTGATCTGCAGTGAATTGTGGGAAACCTCACAGCTCCTTACTGCTGGATAGGAACCTGGGTCTGTTAAAATGAGGCACCTCCTGAGCTTCCTCTGCTAAAGGAGCTCATGGTTCTGGTTTATCCTATGGTTAACAAAGTTAATGCAAAGATGAGCTTGAGTTGTTTTATTTATGAATGAAAAGAAGGCAATATGTATTCTTTTATTTTACAGTTAAATTATTATTTATGTAATCAAGAATTTTTTGGCAGAAGCTCTTTGTTCCTACATGAACCTCTTGAGCTTTAATAAAAAGACATTGTGGAATTTACTGCAAAAACAAATATGCCAATTTTTGGGTAGTTATTTTTCCTATACATATAGAGATATATATCGTATATCAAGATATAACAAAATATATCGAGATATATATTTTTACTCCATATCGCCCAGCCCTATCCTGTAATGTGATGTATTTTTCAGTTCAAATATCTGCCTTTCTGTCAGTTCTTCTGGATGTGTTTTTAACAGAATCTTATTTTAAAACATAAATTGCAAATCTAATCACAATGCTTGTCTAAAAAACACAATTGTATGTATTTGGCCCTACTTTATACCATTATAACTAATGTACCACATGTCCCACTGTGTGTCCAGGATCTGCAGGAGTTTAAGGAGGTCACCATGTGTGTGTTTCCCAGGTAACATGTTCAGTTGTCTTGAATTGTTTTTCAGTGATATTTCGCTGTATTCATTCTCTCTGTTACAGACTTTTAGACACAAAGCTCATGTCTTCAACTCAGCCTTTTAAGGTAAGATGACGTGCATCTGTCATTAATGATTTTCCATTTTTTAAAACAAACACTTGTATTTATCCATCTGATATCTATGCGTTTTAGTAAAATGAATAGTCCAACCTGTCATTTAAATAGAAAATAGCCTGTAATAGTGTTTAGTCTGTGCACAAACGCAGTGTGTTCCGCTTTGGTTCTGTCAGACTAGACCCTCCAGCACCAGTCCTCTCACCACAGTCTTGGCCTGTGTTTCAGGAGCTCATCACAAACACGTCCCTGGCAGAGTTGGAGAAGCAGCTGAAGGAGAGCCCCTTCAAATGTCCACAAGTCGGTCAGTCCATAGTGTATCCTCTCGGTTTTAAAAGACGCTCTACCACCAAACACACGAGTTAATTTTAAACAGTCTGCAGTGGTTCAGTTATTCCTCACTTTCCTAACACGTTCGTGGTGTTGTATATAATCTATTATTCTTGATGAATTTATTAGCACTTTTTGAAGCTCTGAGGCCACATTAGAAAATGGCCATCACAGTAAAGTTAATAATAAATGGCATGCTAACAGCCCACTTCACTTCACGGAAGATAAAGGCAGACACCTGATGTCTGTACTTGGGCAAGACACATTCAACTTTAAGGGACTATACTGTATTTTACTCATGTAGTAAAGACTCCTCTGTTGTGTTCTTTATCAGAAACTGCAGAGGGTTTTCCCAGCTACGACACAGCCCAGGAGCAGCTGCACGAGGCGGGCTACGACGCCTACATCACCGGCCTCTGCTTCATCTCCATGGCCAACTACCTGGGTACACACATGATACTTTTATGGATTCTACATATTAGGATGGGGGCAATCTTTGTGTAGTAGCCTGCTGTTGCAACTCTTTTCAAGATGTGAAAATATCTATATAAAAATTTTTGTATTTGAAAATGACTGCAAAAAGTGGTTTTGGAGTGGTGATAAAAATTCAGTTGTGATCTGATCCCTGTTATTTTGGTTATGTTGTAAATTACTGGTTTTCCAATAACTATTGCTATTAGTCTGCCTCTGTAAGGCTCTGGGTGATTGACAATTGAACAAATCACAGTGAAGTGTAAATGATCAGAAAAAGCAGATGACTTCATCTACCTCTTAAAGGTAATGGAAAAAGACAAAGTTACGTAAACCATGAGAAGATCAAAAATCATGATCTGGCTTCAAGTTTTGAGCAATACATGAGGTGGCAGACATTAAAGAGGCACTATTTTACTTCTATAGGGTTTTAACAGTGAATGTTTGTTTTAACTTGAATGATCGCAAAACAATCGGCATGCATTTCGCTAAAGAAACTACTGTACACAGCAACTTGACAGAGCTGAAATGATGTGCAGTATTGTATCGTGTTTTTGTATATTTATGGATATAATTGTTGTATGGAAGCATGGATGACATACATACGTGTGTGTGTGTATATGTGTGTATATATATATATATATATATATATATATATATATGATCCAGGAGAGATCACTAGATTACTCAAACATGCCTGGATGAACTCTAACATGTTTTGATGAGGGAATAACGTTATAACATGAAATGCCCCTCTTTAAACACTTTTTTTCTTCATAAATGATATTGAAGACAATTGAAATGATCTTGTCCGTCCCATCTCCTGCCCCTCATCCTTTTGGAGCCATATGTCAAATGAGAAATGCCACCAAATGCCCTGAGTGTATCTTGCGTCCATCAGAGTGAAGGATGGTAGTGAGTCAGATCTTTCTAACTGTATCGTGTGTTTGTGGTTAATTTAGGCTCATTCCTGACGCCCCCTAAAGGCCACATCTCTGCTCGCTCCAAACTCATCGAGCCCTTCTACAATAAGTAAGAGCTGATCCAAGTGTCCCCTGTGACTGTGAACTGTGTTAGCACTGTCTTTTTTTGTGTGCAGGCTGTTCCTCATGAGGATCATTGACATTCCCTACCTCAACATGACTGGACCAGACTGTGAGTGACACACACACACACACACACACACACACACACACACACACACACTCATTCATGCTCTTTGTAAAGGGGAGATATGATTGTTGGTCTTGGACACAAGGGATGTCTGATTACCTGAAGTGATGTAGAAGTGTGTTAAGTTCTAAAGAGAAGTAACCATGATTATAATCAATTATTTGGCCAATAACTTTAAAGGTACAATATGCAACTTTCTGGAAGTGGGATATAGCCGAAGGAACATTTCATGGGGAAAAACAGCAGAGTCCAGTTAGTGGAGATGCAAACCCACTCAAAGTAAAGAAGTTTTCAGTGCAGTAAACACGGGTTTAGTTAGTTTTTTGGGATAAAAAGTTAAGCACTGTAGCTTTTAAGCAGAGTGATTGGCTGATGTGAGCACAGCGCTCTGTACTGAGGAGTGAAAACTGAACATGAAAACTGTATAAAATGCGCTCAGGTTGTGTGTATTATGATGTAGCCAAAATGTAGTAAAGCAATGTCAGCCTGAGAGAAACTGTTGTTTATGCAGTGCAACCCAAGAGGGACCACGTCCTGTACGTGACCTTCCCAAAGGAGTGGAAGACCAGCGACCTGTACCAGCTCTTCAGTGCCTTCGGTGAGTCCACATGTAGACCTCATGTACTTCTATGATACTGAATGTACTTGCATGTATGAGACTATGTCACCTGTGCTCTTAGGGAACATCCAGGTGTCATGGATTGACGACACCTCTGCCTTTGTGTCTCTGAGCCAGACAGACCAGGTGCAGATAGGTGAGCCATGTTTCATGTTCTGTGTGCACTTTACATACAGAGGAGCTGAGAATCAAAAGTGACATCTGGAATTAAAAAGCATCTTTATCTAATAAGGTTTTCCAAACAATACATTTAGCACCAACTCCACACATAAAGCATGTGCTTTTCCAGCGCTTTAACTCCAGCTGAACATGAGCTGGCTCTGTGTGATTGAAACATTGAAACTCTTTTGATCTGGTGCAGCGATGAACACGAGCCGCTACGCTGAGAGCTACAGGATCCAGACGTATGCAGATTACGTCCAGGCGAAACAGCAGGAGAAGGACAAGCACAAACAGAGCCAGGCCCATGGCTCGTGGGGAGACGGCTGGACCAAGAGCCACTACCCCTCCAGCACCTCCTCCAGCCTCTCATACGCACGGTGCGTTTGGATGCTCTGTCTCCATGGACTCAGCAATACTGTTTTTTTTATTTAGTTTTTTTTCACTGAACTGCTTTAATAGTTTTCTCACGATGTGTGATGCAAATGCTGAATCTTTTTGCAATTTAAAACCTTTCATATAGGTCATTCTGTAGTTCATTTAGGCACATGTACTGTACATGTTTCTGTAAGTGGAATGTTTCCATTTGGTCTTTACACTTACATTTTAAAATGGCACCTTGAGGAGTGCATCTGAATCTGTCACAGCTTTATCACAGCAACAGCCCTCCAAGTGTGAAGTTTGTTGTGTGTTGTCAAAAACAAGCTCTTGACAAAGGCTTGTAGTGCAGACCTCCTCTAGAACAGCCCTGCTCCAGGACTCCATGGCCTTCTAAAGAGTGTCCTGTGTGTCCTACAGGGCTATGAGGAAGCGCAGCATGAGCCCGGTGCAGCCTGAGCAGGCCCGAGCCCAGGGAGACGGCTGGGCTCACTACTCCTACGCTGAGGTGGCCGGAGGAAAGAAGCTCAAGACTGACGGTAAGAGTGTGTACGTGTGTGTGTACTGCACTATTCAGGAGTGGGGGGTATGTGTCACTTTGCAGTCGCCTGTGCAGAATGCTCCTGAAGCACATGTCTAATAGGTGTACATGTGCATATAACACATTAATAATGTTTTATCAGACCACACTTCCCAAATGCTGCTTTATTTTTCCTTGTATTATAAAATCCAGACACAGGCTAAACCTTCAGAGCCTCAGCTTCACACAGTCCAGCCATGTGTCTGGCTCATTTTCCCTGAACCACTTTCCCTAGTTCAAACTGACTGGCACCTTTTGTAGCAGAGACTGAAGAAGTTGGGGTCATTAGACCCATGCAAACAGTGTGTGTGTGTATGTGTGTGTCCTCACTGCATGTGCTTCTACATTGTCATTTCAGGAGAGTCCAACTCTGAGGCAGTTGAAAGCACCACCACAGAAGGCTGGTTAAAAACAGGGTAAGTCTCAGGGTGTGTGTTTTTGTAATTGTGGAGCTTTGTCTGACCCACGTCTATGCTGTAGAGACATGTCAGAGTCCTCCGGCTCCAGCCCAGACCAGGACCAGAGTCAGGGTCCAGACCAAGAGCAGAGCAGTCCAGAGGCTGTGGACACGGAGGGCACAGGCGGCTGGCAGCAGGCCACCGGAGCGCACAAGAAGGGACACAAGCACAAGAAAAAGAGTGCAGGTGAGGACTGTAGCACTGGGTCTGTCTGTAGGGGGCACCATAGTGTGTTTGGAATATTTCACTTCTCTTAGGAAATGAGACTCTACCTCTAAGGAGCTATACATCATAAATAAATTGAGTATGGATTAATCACACACAACACATGGTTCATGTCAGATTTCAACTCAGTGACTCTTTAGTTTATGTTGTACCTCCCTTGACCTTGTGTTTATAACCTGTATGTTGTGGCCTCCAGGAACAGCGTCCTCATCTGCGCTCTTTGAGGTGCCTGAGGTCTGGTAGCATCAGCACCTCCTTGAGCTCCATGAGACTGGGCCTTCTCCCAGAGAGCCCCCAGCCCCAGGAGCCTGAGTGAGGCCAGACACTCTGAAGCCATAGCCCCACAGCAGCCCCCACAGCAGCCGTCACCACAGTGGGGTGAAGAGCAGGCTCCTCTTCTGCCCCGGGGCGACTGCGGCTCGTACTGTAGTGAGAGTGAGTTTGTGCATGTAAGAACAGTCTGTTTAGTGAATGTGACATAGTGCAGCTGGTAGCTCCTAGTTTACAAAGTCAGGGTCATTCAGTCTTTTTAACCTCGTCCCTTTTAAATGCTCCTGTCCTGTTCCACTTTTATCAGACTAATGTGAGCGCAGCAGTGAAATGAATATTTATTGGTGGTATTACGACATGTCTTTGAAAATGTTGTTTTTGTACAGATTTCGTTTTGTTTAAGTGTTTTGTAATGTCCTCTTGCAGCACTGTCTAATGTTCTAATGTATCCTGTGTGTAAAGACACACTTTTTGTATCAAACGTTTAAGAATTCTTAAATATATCCTTGTAAAGGGAAAGAATTAAAGAATGTTTCTTAGTACTCGTGCTGGTGTGGTCTTTACGTGTTCAAAAATGTATTTCCTCTTAACCTTTTTATATGGGGTGAATGTTAAAGGGCTGTTTTACTTCTATGGCGCATTAACTGCACATAACATTTAGATCACCATGATTTTTGAATGTTTACTGTATTTTCCGGACTATTAGACGCGCTCTTAAGCCTCTAACCCCATCAAAAAAACGACTGCGCGCCCCGCAAGCCAGAGCGCCCTATACACGAATCCACTCGGGTGTCCCAGCACGACTTCAGTAAACTACAAAGCCACACCACCCACAGAACACACAAACACACAAGGAGCAGACAGCGACCGCACAGTGAAACACACCCACAGACACACTCATCACTCCACACCGACGAGGAACGGAACGGAACGGAGGAACGAACCGAAAAAGCGAGTGCAATGTGCCGCTTCTAGACACAACTGAGCAACTGAGTCACTGTGAACACACCGACAATCCGTTGGTCCCAGAGAGCCCCCTCCCTACACACCACAACTGAACAAAGCCCAGAGTCACTGTGAATGCACCAAACAAACAAAACCACTCACCCACCCAACTGTTGTGTTTTCTTTAAAGTTCGGTGTGGTTTATTTGTGAAAAAAGATTGAAAATAGACCATTTAATGACAGAGCCCCTAATAGCCCGGAAAATACAGTAATTACTTGCAAATTCATTTTTGAAGCCTTGAGCCTCCAGTCTTTGCTCCCAGCACTAAACCACTCGGTAGCACTTTATAATAACTCCTTATTAAGCATTTATTAAGCATTATTTAATACATTTGTTAATCATTAGGAAACTGTTAACTCTTAATTATTTCTCATCAGTTAATCATTTATAGATGTATATGTTAATGCTTTGACCATGGTGAAGAAGTCATCTTACAGCCATTTGTTAAGCATTATTTAAAACACTGGTTAATCATTTGTACACACTTACCTCTTAATTTTTTCATGTGATTTAATCATTATTAAATACATTATTTAATGTCTTTGGTCATCATTAGTAAATCATTACTAATTCATTACTACTCATCAACTTTTAATGTGTAAAATCATTGTTACACCCAAATTTATCAAATTTTTAACCCACATACTCAACTAATGATTTGTTACTCATTTCTTAATGGGGTTATTCCCCAGTATTGATCAGTTACTAAGCACTTGTACATGGTAGTTAGAATAGGTTAAGCAGGGGGTGTTTACACTTACCACATGACGACCACCCTTCATGGACGCAATATGTTCTTCTAAAGAGAGACTTGTCTATGCTCTAAAAAACATTTACAAATGATTTGTTAAGCCTTACTCATGATTAATTGATCAGTTATAACTGGTTAATTAAGTATTTTGTGGGAGCTATTCTAAAGTGAAGCTTGTCTATGCTCTACTAAACATTTACAAATGATTTGTTAAGCTTTACTCATGATTAACTCATCAGTTATAACTGCTTACTTAAATATTTTGTGGGAGCTATTCTAAAGTGAAGCTTGTCTATGTTCTACTAAACATTTACAAATTACTTATTAAGATTTGTATGAATATGTTAAAAAAATGGACATGTCATGAAACCACACCACAGAGGGAAAGAAAATAACTAATATTTAACTGGTTGTGTTGAACACTCTTTTCAACAGAGAAGAATAGAATATGCTTGAGTTAATCATGAGTGAGCCTTACACTGCAAAAAGTGCCTGACTAGAAACAAGAAAAAAGAAACTAAAAATTAGACAAATGTTCTTGTTATAAGCAAAATAATCTGCCTATGGGGTAAGAAAGTGTTTCTTGCCTAGTTTTAAGAACATTAGTGCAAAAAAAAAAAGTCAGAAATTCTTATATCTTACTTACAACTTGCTTAAATTAAGCAAAATATTCTCAGTATATGGTCAATT